AATTTTTCAGGAACTACTATGGCACCAATGGCGTCTGTTTTCCTCTTCACTCAGAACAATCAGAAAGTTCAGGAAGTCAGATTTACTCTGTTGTGATTTTCTTAGGTAAGTTGCATTTTTTCTTTATGTATTACTAGATCTGCAAAGGAATCAAGTTTTCAAACAAATAAGATAGCTGTGAAGTTAACACCTCCTTGGATTTAGATGCTCCAGCAAGCATTTAAAGACTATTTCCAATATAAATACTTTACTGAAGAAGATGTGTACCTACTTATCTTAAAATGCATGAGGAGCTGAGAAAGCAGAAAGAAATTATTGGCCATTGTGTTGTTGAATTAATAGGGAAGTAGAGCATTGTTAAGGCCAGAGAACTATTTAGTTTTAACCAGATGGCAGTCATTTGCCAGTTATCAGTGAATAAAATGAATACTTGAGTAGAGGCAAAAATTCAGCCTTCAGATGAGGACAGACTCAGATTTTCTGACCATTTAACTCCATGGGACTAGCAGTTTAGATGAAATATTCTTCTTTATTACCCAGACTGCAAATAGGTGATGTAGATTGCCATTATGCTTTTTTGGTATAATTAATTTTAATTTTTAAACAGGTGTCAACTTGGCAGCTTTTATCATCATTGTGTTTTCCTATGGGAGTATGTTCTACAGTGTTCACCAGACAGCTATTATGGCTACTGAAATTCGGAATCACATCAAAAAAGAGATGATCCTTGCTAAACGATTTTTCTTCATTGTATTTACTGATGCACTATGTTGGATACCTATTTTTATTTTGAAGCTCCTTTCTTTACTTCGAGTAGAAATACCAGGTATGTCCTTTCTTTTATGAGGCTGTTTCAACAGTGCCTGCATGAAATGTTTCTTCTACCTCAGAAGAAAAATAATTTAATGAAATGAACTATATTGCTGCAGCTAACTTCATGTTCTATATCTAGATATATGTACACACAATATAATGAACTATATACTTTCGCTATTTAATTTAACTGTATTACTATAATCATGAAGGATTAGTCACCTTTGACTTACATACAAAAGTCCAAAATTCAAATAATTCAAGTCTGTCTGCATATAATATCTATAAAGTGTGAAAAATATATTTGAAAATCAAGACTGAGTTGCATTGGCTTTTCTCATCTCAGGACTTTTTCTGGATCTGTTGCCTAAATGTCTCAGGACCATATAGTATTTTCTATCTTGATTTAATAATATATCTTATTCTGAAATAATTTTATTTTACAAGCTGGTATTTATAGTTCAACTCATTAAGTTACATAAAGCTCTGCTTATCTTTTTCATGCTGTGAATATATTCCCATGTAAAGACAGTGTAACCTAAAAGATTAATATTGCACCTTAATTTTTTCCTTCTCTTTTCAATACCATTAGATGCCAGAAATAAAAGCTTCTTCATGTGATGCCTGTAAACTCTGTTAGAAAGGGTATGTGAGCACGAGCAGAACAATCATCAACAGCAGATTCAGGCTCAATGTACAGATGTATGTCACAATATTACATGGGCAAGAAAATGTTCTAGCTCAGATGATTCTGCCTTATGTGCTGACCAGGAGGGTTGGGAGTTGAGATTTTCAAAGCTTGAGCTTGCATCTCAAATGTCTGGAAGTTACGCTTATTATGTCGAATATTCGGTTATTTTAAATATTTTAAAATTCTTCTTCAACAAGCTATCAAGCCATCTGTGATATTTGAAAGAAAATATTGTGAAAAGCAGAAGCAGGTGTATTATAAGAAACCTTGAAAAAATTTTGCTGAATAACAGGGTGATTGTGGGTTAAGCAAATTAATGTTCTGGTGGATGAACCAGATTAAACAGTTGTTAGTCATTTCATGAAACTAAAGAAATGACAGCTAGCTGTTCAAATTGACACAAATCGTAAAACTCGTTCAATAGCATTTGCTTTTTGTCAGTGATACATTGTGACAGTTTTAGAAACTAAGCACCTGCTTGTTTCCAAAACTGTAGCCAAAGTGACGGGCATGAACAGAAATGTCTTGATATTGCAACAAAGTTGTAAAACTGGAGTGGGTGTCCCGGAAGGAGAGGTTCAATTAAGTTTTGTGTGCCTCTTGAAACAGTTCTGTAACAGTTTTATAAGTCAAACAATGCAACGGAGGCGCCCCCTGACATCTTTCAGCACTTTAATCCTGTCCCTTCTCCACCTGCCCCTCAGGTAACTGATCTCCCAAACACTAAAGGATGAGAAAGGGATGTTGTGAAGATGCACAGACAGGCATAGACAGAAAGTGAACACAGAAACTCTTACCAACAGGGAAAAAAGGAAATGAGGAGAATGTATACACTGATCTTTTTCAGGAAGAGGAATGGAGAAGTCCTGGTGCAGAAGGCACTGAGGGGATACGGGGGATGGAGGATAGTTTTGCAGGCGGACAGAACATCAGGGGTATCATTAGGGGTGCATGTCATCAGTCCTGGGAAGAGGACAGGGAACAGAGATCATAGGAAGAGATAAGGAGCAAAGAAAGCAGAGACAAAAGGTTTGAGGGCAAGAAAAAGGGGCTCAGCCAGAACAAGAGGTCTGTCAGGGCAAACAGGAAGCTATGGCATAGAAAAGAGTGGTAAATGGAGCTATTGGGAGAATAATAAATGTCAGCTTTTGCAGGGAGTACCAGAAACAGAAGGAGATAAGCAGTGCAATTGTAATAGAAAGAAAAAGAAAAGCACCTGTTGTGCCAGGAGCTCAGCCTAAGAGCACATGACCTCCCCCTCTCACTGGGGAGCTGTGCTGTATTGGCATCAAGTGCTTATGCTAACTAAAGAGGACAAACACTGGGATGCATATTACAGCTGCCTTTCTTTTTTCTTCCCTAAGGTACCATAACTTCTTGGGTGGTGATTTTTATACTGCCAATAAATAGTGCTTTGAATCCTCTTCTATACACTTTGACTACACGACCTTTCAAAGAAATGATTCATCAGGTTTGGTACAACTACAGACAAAGAAGATCCAGAAGAGGTAAAGGCAACCAGAAACCATACGGTCCGTCATTCATTTGGGTAGAGATGTGGCCAATGCATGAAATCACACCAAAGGTTACGAAGCCTGTGCTTTGTACAGACTCTTCTGATGCTTCAGTGACTACACAGTCAACAAGATTAAATTCATACACGTAATTACACTTTGAATCCTCACGGTGACATCGGCACTGTTAGCTTCACATCCGTGGGCTTGCTGCTTTACAGCCACGAGGAAAATGAGGGAGCTGTGACATCAGGGCTCACGTGAACCACTGCAGGAAGAAGAGGGAGCCATGTGTCTGTTTGCAGGTAGAACTGGCATTTTACCATCTCACAGCAGTACCTGACATTGTGACAATTCATCCTAGATCAGAATGACAAATCAGTTGTTTGGGGCTTTTTTCTTCCAGAAGCCAAGAGTGTGGGGGAAAAAAAAATGAATTGTCATTTGAAACATCTCACACTGAAAGCAGATTGTTTCAAAATCATTTATTTATGGGGAAGTGTGTGTGTGTATGTGTGTGTGTTTTCTTTTTTCTTTTTCTTTTTTTAAGTTCCCATTTCAACAGATAATTTTTTTAAGAGTTAATTGGTTTCCTCATTAAGAAATATATTTTCTCCTTGAAGTTTCTGACTTAAAAAGCTTTAAGGAGCAATAGCCATAAGAAAAACAATTAAATTTCAAAATTAGATCTGTTAACTGTATTTGTCAAAGCCAAGCAAGTGGAAATTACATTCCTTTTATAAATGTACAGACTATTTCACTCATGTAAAGGCAAGAGTGGAATTGCAGTGATAGTTCTAATATAGTCGCCAGGTTGTACAAGGCCTTGATCAGCCTGGTCTACTGGGAGGTGTCCCTGGCCATGTCAGGGAGGGGCTGGGACTAGATGATCTTAAAGATTCTAATTCAGGCAGAACCAGAACTGTGGTGAAGAAAAAAATAAAAAGGAGATGTTTGGGTTTGGTTTTTTTTCCCAAGTGAATGTCCCCCAGCTTTAACTGGTGGCAGTTTCCCCCTTCTTACTCTGAAAAGACTGGACTGAGTATCCCAGCAATCTTGCTGCTGCTCTTTTCCTCACTTTTCTTAGCAGGCTACCAAAAGTAGCTCACCACAGCTTGCAGACTTCAACAAATTCCAGTCTTAAGATGTCTCTCTATGTAAAAGGAAGATGGTAAAATAGAAAATTATCAGTCTTAAAAGGTGTCATGACATCTACATTTCAATCACTTGGTACATGAATGGGTGCACTATAGTTAAAGTAATTTGAAGACCAGAGCCATTCAGCACTTTCTGAAGCATTATTTTACTTCCCAGAATTAAAATGGTAAAATAAAAAATCCCCTAGAGGCAGTTCCTTCACACATTCTTACTGAAGAGAATATTTTCTATTATGAATTATTACAACTTCCCTTCTTCTTTCAGTACCGTATTCAGTCTGATGGCCTAGGAGCCCAAAAAGGTAAAAAAAAAGCTTTTTTTTGCATTGATTTGAAACTATTTAAAATTAAGTTAAAAGATACTTTCAATGTTTGCACTTGACTTCTTAACAGTATAAGAAGTAAAATTTTGAAAGTGTGACTCACACTTCAACTGTTTACAGAACTTTGGATTATCTTGAAACTGAAGATTGTTAAAGCATCTTGTTTCCACTACTGTATGTTCTATTGAAATAAAATATTATCTGCTGAACAAAACTACTTCTTTTCCAAGTTGTTTAGCAATATTTTGAGTTGTGGGGGTTAAAAACACCTAAAAAAAAAAGCAAAATTTTGCCTCGTGGATTGCCTTTAACTAGGACAATTAGAACTCAGTTCAATAGAACTTCCTTACTCTGAGGGGCCAAGCCCTCTCAAGGAGGGCCTTCGGTGAGATATGCAAGGATCCCCAACCTTGCCATTACATGTTTTTCACTACATGTGACTATGGTTATATTCACTGTCACCTTTGGTTCTATCAGTAACACAATAATAGTTCAATAATACTTCAGAATTTTTGCAACATCTTTATTGTTTTGATAAGCAAACTACAGTGGGTCTTTCTCAAAGTCCTATAAGTAAAAATAAGGCCTGCTAATAAGTCATGACAGAGTTGTGTTCTCCTGCAGCCTGCCATTGCACCTCAGCATTACTGTTTTTCACAGTGCCTGGTAAAGATACAGGAGTGTCAGGACAGCTATTTATTACAAATCAGCCATCTTTCAGACCAAAAGGTTCTATTATCAATCTAGTCACTGCTTAAGGCAAAGATAAAAAACAGGACCAAATACTGAAAAATCTCTGAAGTGCTTCCCCAGTGACAGGATATGTCACAAGATATATGGTCCACCATAAGGCACTTTATTACAACAAAAGGTAGCATAAAATTGTTTGCAGTAATAAAACATCTTGCAAAAAAATAAACCTGCAGCTTTATAGTCATATATTGAAATACTGCTAAAAATAGTAAGATTTTGGATACAGGATTTTTTACAGCTCATAAATAAGCCACAACTTGCCACATTATCCCGTACTCAACATGAAGAAAAAGTGTGCATAAAAAGAACTGAAGTTAGTTGAAGTTTCCCTGGGGCTGGCAGGGTTTCTGCTGCTGACAGCTCTTGAGGAGGGCTGACAATTCTTTATCCTAGGACACCAGTAATGAGTTCCGAACGTAGCACACATACTAACTTTGTATCTACCACGTTAGCACGAAAGAGAGAGGAAAAAAAAAGGAGCACTGAGCATTAAGATCGCTTGAGCTTCAACGAAGAATCTAAAAGTCAAAACTGATTCCTAAACAAAGTTTTTTTTTATTCGGTGGACTAACATGAAACATTCATACGAGAGCCCTGAAGTATTTGAGAAAGAACTCCGGGGGCAAACAAAACTCCACGTGAGCTCCCTCCAGGAGGAAAAGAGCCCGCCGCAGTGCGGGACGAGCGGGCAGGGCCAGCGTCAGCCGCTGGGCTTCAGGGACTCGTAGCCCTCCCTCAGCAGGTCCCGCCACGTCCTGAGGAACCGGGCGTTCTCCGAGCACTTGGTGGCCAGCTCCTCCACCTGGGCCGACACGGCCGAGGTCGCCTCCAGGATCTTCGCCAGGGAGAAGGCGGCCTGGAGGGACGGCAGAGAGGTTGGGGGTCGCCGGCGCCCGGCACGGTCCCCGAGGGGGCCCCGGAGCCCGCCCGAGAGCGGCCGCACTCACGTCGCCGATCTGCATCTCCACCTCCTCCAGCAGCTCCCGCGTGTCGCCGCCGGGCAGCTCCGACGGTCCCGACCCCTCGCTCCCGCCGCGGACCCTCCGGGGCTCGGCGCCGGGCGATCCCTCGGGCACCGCCGCGGGCGGCAGC